AATATCCTCAAAACCACCCAAGCTTGTTCTTTATAGTTAGTTTTCCATTTTTTTCACAACAAATTTGTATTTTGCTTCTACTGTGTCATTAGACACTTGTGGTGAATCATATAAGCGCGACTTTGTATAGCCAAGAAATAGGGACCAATTTCTAAAGCGCATGTTTCTAATTGCAATTTATATAGTAGTAATTTTTTCACTGTGCATGAGATGGGCCTACACAGACAGGACAGGACCAATATTTATAAAGCTCATTGGACTGTTTCTAATCATAAGGAGCAGTTTAAGCAACATTTCTATCCAAATCAGTTCAGTTTCTTCAGAATGATTTTCAGGCAAACGTATCTATTGATTTATGTCTTGACTTAAAAGCTACATTTTGGGATATGGCAAGTGATCTTAGGGGCCCCCTGATGGGGCCCCCTGCTGGCATGGAGGTTTTAAAAAGCAGCTCACTTATGCCTTTGGCCTTAAATCGTTATATATTTTTGTATATCACTTTTATATCAATATTCAATGCAATATGAAATCAAATTTTTATATTACATTATGTTGTTTTTACACACTTTTATATATAAACATTAGTAAAATTTTTCTTTAGTTTTTGGTGCTTAAGCTTTGTAGATGACCTGCTTGTCTCCGCAGGTGGGAATTGACCCTTACACATTTAAAAACATGAAATCATATAAGTTAAAGTTGACAAGACATTAAGAGTCTTCTCTAATGATGTTCTAACCTGGTTAAAATCAACTTTTGACATCTCTGGCTAAATTTGGGTAGGAGTTATAGGCTGAAAAAGTAAGATTTTCAAATATTATTTATTGGCTAAATTAAGGAAATAACCTGCCTACCTTCAATAGCTTTAAATAGATGTGTATGGTTTAAAAGGCACACTGGATATAAAATACCTCACCAGGAGGTTTTTGAAATTGTAGCTAATCCCAAACACGTTTAGTGAAAGTTATCCGGTTTCTCAAATAATTTTTTGTGCTAAATTTGTTTTGCAAATAGCAATCCATGTCTATACTGCTAATGCATTATTGTTCTGACCATATTCAGGCGACATCATCAAATGCATCCCTATGGTTTTACTTATATTTGCATTTAACATTTAGATCAACGCTGGAAACAGAAGGTGCATGCTGTCTGGAGGATTTTGGACACATGCATTTTGCATGACTGCGTGCATCACAGTTTACTTCCCAGTAAAACAACCATATTCTCTATGCAGGAGGGTTTGTGCCCTTGAACTGTGCAGGACTCACTCAAGGCACAGCTGCAGAGGGAATGATCTGTTTTCCAGAATTTCTCTCAGTTTGTGCAGTGGATCAGTTTGATCAGTTAAGGGAGAGCCAGTCTGAACAATAAGTGATCTAAGCTTCTGCTCATAGGGCCTCAGGGCAATGGAGAAATATTGAATTTTCAATAAAAATAAAATGAAATGCAAAGAAATGTGTCTATCATTAAAGATTTTTCAATAATTCAAGACATACAAGCTTTAACTACCGTTAAAGCTATGCATGCCTGTGTTCTTTGACGTGGATGAAATTAATAATCTAAACTTGCAGATTTCTAATAGTGGACAGTCACTCAAAATGGTTTTCTTTTTTCTTTCTTTCTTTTTTTAGAAATAGGTAGTATCTATTTTTGCTCATTCGTGTCTGTGTTCCTGCGCTGGGCGCCGTGCATGCAAAACATGGCTGAGCTACTCCGCAGATTCCTTCTCACGTGCTGATGTTCCAGCATTTTGCTTCATGCGCGCACTATTATAATTAGTCCTATGGTTCTTTGCATATCGACCAGCATGTGATCCACCTGCGTCTTAAGCCTGGAGAGTCCCCGGCGCCAGTCTGCAGCTTCCTCTGCCTTTGTATGACAGAGACTTTTGACATAAGATCCCCGTCCAACCGGAAAACACCCCCGAAGGGCCCAAACGAAGCACAATTACGCAAGATCTCAACAAGCGCTTGCCTTTTTACCTCCTGCTCCTCACCTCCACCCTGCATGCTGCGTGTTTCATTGACAGGGGCTCATATGTGCTACCTGCGCAGACTTGCCAAAGGAATCGATTAAAGAAAAAAAAGAAAAAAGAAAAGAAAAAAGAGCTATAATTTATTACATAAAATAGGGTCATTAGTTTGGGGTGGTGATAGTATTTTTATATTAATGCGTTATAACCGCACTGTTATTAATTTATCGACACAAGCATGAATTATTCACGCACAGCGAGAGCCTTTTACTCAGTGCGTAAAATGGATTTCTAGAAGGATTTGGTTCAGTAAAAAAGGGGTCGAATTAACTTAAACATACCGCAAGGAAACAAGAAACAAAAAAGCGATACACTAATAAGTAAAGTTATATTTAAGTTGTTATGGAAGGGTTGATCTTAGGGCGCATTTTTCATTTTTCTATCAATACTATAACTGTATTAATAATACTGCGCTGCTGATCACTGCGCTCAAAGAAGAAGAGATGCTGTATCCCCCACATAACTAATCTACTGACTTAATAAAGGAGGTTACAGCTCTGTGGCCTAAAAAAAAAAAAAAATCCCAATAAACAATCTGACCTTCTAGACATCTCAAACAGTATTATCGGATTTACAGCCAAAATGGAGCTCTTCTGATCTCCACCTTCCTATTTGCGGGCTGATAGATGGAGATAATCTAAATACACTAAACGTCCCCAACTCATCCTCCATCCCGGCCTGCGTCCTTCTCCTCCACTTTTTGCGTGTGATGGATGAGTTAAAAAGCTTTTCCATCCGGCAGGACAGGTTAAAGGTCCAGCAGCAGCGCAAACACTCACAGTCTTTTCTCCCTCCTCTCCACGATGTAAAAATAAACTGGGCAAGCGTTATTAATCACCAAGCAAACATAAAGAGGAATAAAAGTACAGTCTTTTTTTTTTGTCTACGCCTGCAGCAGAGTTGACAAGGGGGGCAAAAACAAAGCAGGCGGAGGTGATTCAAAGGAGAACAGCAGTGGAGATGTAACTGGACACGGAGGGTAACTGGAGAAGTACTGAGCTGATTATTGCCTTGGTGATGGTTACCCTGCGTGGGCCAAGGCCTGTTTGACCTGCACTCTGACATCTAACAAAAAGAAAATCCAAACAGCGTTTGTTAAGATTAGTTTCTATCGAGTATCAGCAAAGCACAAAACTCCCAACAGGGACTGATTTCTTTATTGAAAACTCCGATAAACACATCCTGGTTATTCAAGGTTCTCATTCAAGGTGTTAGTATCTCCAAACCTACCAAGGCCGGACTGAGGCATAAGCGAGGTGAGCAGCTGCTTTGGTTCCCAAGGCAATTTGGCTCTATATTCTTTAAGACAAAGATGTCAATTTTTTTTTTTTCAAATCAATTTGATCAAAAACGGGCCTAGAATTTTGTTTCCCCAAAATTTTTTTTTTAAGTTGTATT